TTGATATTTCCATGAATTTTCTGTTTGATTTTACCTTAAGCTCTAGTAGGAAAGATTTTATGCTTGTTGACAATTCAAACAAGATGCATAAATTTAGTATGTCTCATTTTGTTGAATTATTACCATCCAGAATGTTTAAATTCCCTGATGTGTCATTAGACTTAATTGCCTTACTTGTTGATTGTAGGATGATGATTGGAGCGACTCGTGTCAAGCATCCCAAGAAAAAGTTCCATGAGCGTGATAAAACAGAAAGAGAGCTTGCTACTTTGTCTTTCACTGAAGATTTGGATTCGAGGACGAATCCTTTTCAAGAATGGGAGAATAATAGGAACCAGTACACATGGAATCCAGTAAGGGTAAATAGTGGGCTCATCACAAGGCCCATAACTACGACCTTAAAACATCATTGGTGGAAGAAACAACAAAGACCAATAATAAGTCCATTCGATAGAGGAAAATATTATAGTGGCCAATTTCAAGTGATATCATGGATCGAAGACAATGCTTACAAGATTCGAGGTCGAATCATTTTCAAGAAGGGGAGGATGATGCGGCCCAACATATGAAGATCCATTAAGAGTACTAATTGGGCCAATCACAAGGCCCAAGTCCAAACAATTAAGGCAACTCTTCATTGGTGATGTTCAAAGATGGTGGAAATCCAAGTCAAGCCCATTTGCAAAATATGAAGAAGAACTCAAGGCTTTTTTATAATTGTTTAAGTGCTGATTTTGGTGATTATATTGGGCCCAAATCAGCCCTATTATTTTTTGTCATCATTAATTTAAATTGTTTGGAATTAAAGAGAAAACACTAGTTGTATTTAGAAAGGATTCATTAAATCCTTTTCTAAATAAAACTCTATTTACTTGTTTTCTAGATTAGGTTTAAGACTCTTTTTTCCATTGTATTTAGAATTATAATGCTGCCCCTATACCTATAAATAGGGCACATCCATATCAGTTTCAAGGAGACTTTAATTCAATAAAATTCTTAAGTTTTTCTTTACACTTGTGTAAGAAACCTTATAGCTAATTGTGGACTCAATTAGTGGCTAGTCGTGGACTCGACTAGCAAATTGATTCATGGACTCGAATCAATCTTACTTTCTTCAACCTTAGATTTAGGTTCGTGGACTCGTTCTTGAATCGAAGGAAACTAGATCCGACTCTAGTTGATTGAAGATTGCATCATCGAGGTACTTAAAGCTACAATGGGATTCTTCCAAGTCTTTGAGGATTCGAGAAAAAGGGTTTCTCGTGAGGTTTAAGGTATTTCGATCCATCTCTATCTTTACATTGAGAGCAATTCTTGGGACAATACTCATCTTATTTGAATCTTGGACTAGATTCATATCACTCCCTCACTATTCTCAGCTCGCAGGTAAGAGGTGGATTATATGGCTCTGGGGGTGCACTACACACTCTTACAAATATACACTCCACTCGTGTATCGCTCAAGGTGGCAGATACTCTCACAAGCCTTTTTCCAAAAAGGAAAATTCTAGTCCGGAACTCAAGTTGATATGGATTCAATCTCAAAGGTCAAGAAAACGTACCTTGGAAAACTTCACAAGCCTTTGAGAGTAATGTGTATCGCGAGGTAGGTAATAAAATTGAAAGCAAGAAGCAAAGAAAAAGGACAATACAAGCAAAGAAACTAAGTAAGATTTGAAAGAAAAAAAGGGAAGCAAAGAAAGAAGTATGGCAGAAAGATATGCAAGACCAATATCAGAAGATAGACACAAATAGAATGTAATAGGGGTGCAACTGTACCACAACCAAATAAGAATATATCAAGAACTCCTTCCAACCTTATACTTTTCTCCATCCTTGTCCCTCCAAATTTCTCCTACCAACCAGATTCTTTCCCCAACCTTATTCTTCTTCTTTATTGCTTTCTCTTTTTTTTTTTTTCAACTTTCTTGATTTTTTTTTTGATTTTTTTAAGTAACCTTCAAATAACTACTGTAAATATCAACAAAAATTTTGGACCAAGAGGATTCACACAACCCCTTCAAAACAGAATCAAGAATTTCAAGAATCATCCAGAAAAAAACAGAAACACTGCCCTTACTTCGAAGATCAATATCTCAATGAACGTAAGGAATTAGAAATTGTATAATATATCCAAAGAACTCCCCAGAAGATATCTACAACATATCAAAATTTCAGATAAAACTATCCAGTAGATCTCGAGATATAGGTCATTCTTTGAAACTGGTCACAGAACGCGAAAATCTGGACTGGGTGTGATTGCGACGTAATTGCGCGTAAATGCGCTTCGGATATAGGTAATTGTGAGATGGGGTTGTTTTCATGACAGAATGTGTGGTAATATGGTGCTTAGGAGGTGTGAGGTCTCCTTGATATTCGACAGGAAAAAGGGAAAACTCTTTCGGGATTGTTTTTCAAGAAACTGGAGAACATGTATCAAGATTCAAGAACACAATCAAGAAAGCAAAAGAAAATTTTTTGGGGTTTTTTTTAATAAACAAGACACGAAAAAAATAGTATGTAAGATAAGCATGAGATAAACCTAGGGAACCAAAGAAACCAAATTTCTAACGATAACGAGATAAACCTAGGCTCTGAATACCAAATTGATATGAACCTAGTCCAAGGTTCAATTAAGATGGAGTATTGTCCCAAGGATGCTCTCAAAGTAAAGATAGAGATGGATCAAAATACCTTAAACCTCACGAGAAACCCTTTGTCTCGAATCCTCAAAGACTTGGAAGAATCCCATGAAGCTTCAAGTACCTTGATGTTGCAATCTTCAATCAACTAGAGTCGGATCTAGTTTCCTTCGATTCATGAACGAGTCCACGAACCTAAATCTAAGGTTGAAGAAAGGAAGATTGATTCGAGTCCACGAATCAATTTGCTAGTCGAGTCCACGACTAGCCACTAATTGAGTCCACAATTAGCAATAAGGTTTCTTACACAAGTGTAAAGAAAAACTTAAGAATTTTATTGAATTGAAGACTGTTTCAAACTGATATGGATGTGCCATATTTATAGGTAAGAGCAGCATTATAATATAAATACAATGGGAAAAAGAGTCCTAAACCTAATCTAGAAAACAAGTAAATAGAGTTTTATTTAGAAAAGGATTTAAGGAATCCTTTCTAAATACAACTAGTGTTTTCTCTTTTATGCCAAACAATTTAAATTAATGATGACAAAAAATAATAGGGCTGATTTGGGCCTAATTTAATCACCAAAATCAGCACTTAAACAATTATAAAATCCCTTGAAATCTTCTTCATCTTTTGCAAATGGGCTTGACTTGGATTTCCACCATCTTTGAATATCACCAATGAAGAGTTGTCTTAATCGTTTGGACTTGGGCCTTGTGATTGGCCCAATTGGTACTCTTGATGGATCTTCATTATGTTGGGCCGCATCATCCTCACCTTCTTGAAAATGATTCGACCTAGAATCTTGTATGCATTGTCTTCGATCCATGATATCACTTGAAATGGGCCACTATAATACTTTTCTCTATCGAATGGAATTATTATTGGGCCTTCTTGTTTCTTCCACCAATAATTCTTTAAGGATGTAGTTATGGGCTTTGTGATGAGCCCACTATAGACCCTTATTGGATTCCATGTGTACTGGTTCTTATTAGCATGCTAGTTTATTGTCTTAATGCTAGCGTGTGTGTGGTTTGTACCTTCCGTTGGGTTGATGATATCTTGTGTTATTCATCGTTGTTGTTGTTGGGCTATGACCAGTTCCTTGATCGAGTATGTTTCATACCTTCGTTGTAATCCGTTGTTTGACTCTTGTTGAGTTGTGGTGCGTGTGTGGCTTTACCTGGATTGCAGAATTAGTGGTATGGGACACTAGTCACCAAGGTATTACAGCGGTCCTCGTGGTGGCCGTGACGTGATTATGGAGTTGTGGCCTTTGTGTAAGGTTCACGTTTTTGGGGGATAACATGGGTTATCCGGGCATGTGTTGCCGTGTACGGTACCTTGTGTACTATGAATTGGTGGTCTCGTTGGTGGTCGTTGGTGGGGGACGACGGTCCCGGGGGAATAAGGTTGGACTTGGCTGTACAGGGGTCCTGGAGGTAATGGTTGGAAGAAGATATAAGGTTGGGGGTAGCCATAAGGTTGGAACAGGGCATAAGGAAGGCATATCAATTCGTGATGGGTGATGTCGCGAGGGCTTGTGTAGCTGTTGTTGTGAGTTCTCTTTCTTCTGACGTGTGTAGTCACAAGGGCATGTGTTGCCATCGGTCTTGTCTTTATCCTTTGCGTTGTGGTTAACCTTTGTTGTTTGTGATGTGTTCCCGTGTTATCTTTGAGAGTGATGAGTCTTGTGTTGACTATTGATCTTGGCTTTTGACTTATATACTTATGTATTCCGTTTTGAAAATGGCTTTACAACTCATACCTATCTATGTATGATATTTCACATGTATTGGTGGGTTACCAGCATTATCGCTGACCGGGCGTCGTCCCAATGTTTATCTTTGTATCTTTCAGGTGATGTTTAGACGAGCACGACGTCTAGTGCCTGGTAGCTTAGTACCTTTATCCTTGTTTTGTGGCCTATGCGCCAATGTAGTTTTAGACTGATGTCTTTGGGATAGATGTATACACTTGCAGATTGATTGCCGTAGCGTTTACCATGTTTGGTAGACGTGGCATAACACCCCGTTTGGATTTCTTTTATCCAGTTTTCATTTTATCCTCTTCCACTGTTCTAGTTTTGTTGTATGATCTGCAGGTGTTAAGGCCTTTTTATATAGGTCGTGTTTGGGGGGTGTTACAGTTGGTATCAGAGCCTAGGTTTTGAGCCTAGGAAGAGTTAAGTCTAGACTTTCTAAGTGGTTAAGTGTGTTTTGAGACCTTTATGCGGCCTTAAGAAGCTAAGTGTTAGGCTTAGGACTCTAGGTTGCGCGGTGAGCTGTGTGTTGTTTTCTGTTCTTTGCTTGTTTGCTATCTTTTGGTAACCTCGTTGTTGTAGCAGAAGTCTGTCATGCCTCCTCGCCAGCAAACCGCAACGTTTGAAGACGTGAGTGAAGTGGTTAAGAAACCTCGGTTGGCCGAATCTATTAACGCTTCTGGGGTGATTGAGCGGTGGATCCGGAGTGGCACGTCCACAAGAATAAGTCCTAGTGCAGCTACCTTGCCGGTATTCCGAGATGTAAGAAAGCATGGGAGGATAGAGGTTCATCATCCAGCGGAAGGGTCATTCCAAAAGAGGGTGCTTACCTTAACTGAAGTTCGAACAAGTGATAGTGACGTAGTAGTGGGAACCTTCCTTATGCAATCTGTTCCGGCAGCAGTCTTGGTAGATTCAGGAGCGTCTAACTCGTTTATATCACCCGGACTCGTGAAGAACTTGGGCTTATCTGGGGGCACGGGAGTGAAGTTTAACGTGAAGGTAGCATTGGGATAAGTTAGGACGTGTGACCGTCTCTTCGAGGGCATCAAGATCAACATCAAGGGAGAAGAGTTCCCTAGCGATCTAATCCAGTACGACTTGGACGGGATAGATGTGGTCTTAGGTATGGACTGGTTAGGGCGGTTTAGAGCCCAAATCCTGTGCAATGATCAGAAGGTGGTGCTACGAGTACCCAGTGGGAAAAGGGTGTCATATCGGGGAAAGATGGAAGAACCCGGGATTAAGCTAGTGTCTATGACAATGATGAAGAGGTATATGGATAAAGGCAATGAGTTATACTTGTGTTCGGTCGAGAACTTGAAGGCAAAAGGAGAGGTAGCTCAATCTATACCCGTAGTCCGTGAATTTCTTGATGTATTTCCCGAGGAAATATCGGGTATGCCTCCTACTAGGGAAGTGGAGTTCTCAGTGGACCTTATGCCAGGCACGGCACCCATTTTTAAGGCCCCATATCGTTTGGCTATGCCATAAATGCAAGAGTTGAAGACCCAATTACAAGAACTCCTTGACAAAGGTTATATACCGGCCAAGTACATCGCCATGGGGAGCTCCGGTTTTGTTTGAAAAGAAGAAGGACGGAAGTATGAGGTTGTGTATCGACTACCAAGAGCTGAACCAAGTTACCATCAAGAACAAATAACCCCTCCCAAGAATCGACGACTTGTTTGACCAACTCCACGGCGCGGGAGTGTTTTCCAAAGTTGACCTGAGGTCGGGGTACCATCAGATAAAAGTAGCAGACAAGGACATTCCTAAGACCGCGTTTCGGACTCGGTACCGTCACTACGAGTTTACAGTTATGCCGTTTGGGTTGACTAATGCCCCTGCAGTTTTTATGGACTTGATGAACTGGGTGTTCAAACCCCACCTCGATGATTTTGTGATCGTGCTCATTGATGATATTTTGGTCTATTCGAAAGATAAGAGGGAGCATGTTAGACATCTTCAGACGGTACTTCAGATCTTGAGGGAGAAGCAGTTATACGCCAAGCTCTTTAAGTGTGAGTTTTGGAAAGATAGTGTGACGTTTCTAGTCCACGTGATTGATAATAGGGGGATTTCTGTGGATCTGGACAAGATACGGGCAGTGAAAGATTGGACTGTACCTTCATCGGTGGTGGAAGTAAGAAGTTTTCTTGGTTTAGCGGGTTATTATCGAAGGTTTGTTTTGGATTTCACCAAGGTGGCTCAACCATTGACTAAGTTATTAAGGAAAGAAGTGCCTTTGGTTTGGGATCAAGCTTGTGAGTTAGTATTTCGAGATTTGAAGGAGAGGTTCACGACTGCACCAGTCTTAATATTTCCATCAGGAACGGAAGGGTTTGAGGTATACAGTGATGCGTCCAAGAAAGGACTAGGTTGTGTGTTGATGCAAAATGGGAGAGTGATTGCTTGCGCCTCACGCCAGCTTAAAGTTCACGAAGAGAATTACCCTACACACAATTTGGAACTAGCCGCCGTAGTGTTTGCTCTGAAGATTTAGAGACATTACCTATATGGGGTGCGTTGCAAGATCTTCACGGATCACAAGAGTCTCAAATATATCTTCACCCAAAAGGATCTCAACATGCGACAACGAAGGTGGTTGGAGCTCATCAAGGACTACGAGTTGGATATTTAGTATCACGAAGTAAAAGCTAACGTAGTGGCGGACGCCTTAAGTCGGAAATCGAAGCATACCGCCAGTTCTATTTGGGTAGTGGCGGATGAACTTTGAAAGGAGCTCCAACGGATGAACTTGGAAGTGGTGGAACAGGGAGATGTTGAGGCAGAAGTTCGTTGCTTTAACTTAAGGATTGTACCTACATTTATGGGAGAAATTAAGGAAGAGCAGCAAAAGGATGCATATTTGACGAAGGTAAGGGATGACCTAGCTAAAGGGAAAGTGGGACCGTTTGAGTTATCTACGGATGGGGTGTTGAGGTACAAAGGCCGTTTATGCATACCCGCGTCATGTGATAAGTGGAAGCGACGGATTTTGGAAGAGGGTCATAATACACCCTATTCGGTCCACCCCGGAGGAGACAAATTATACAAAGACGTGAAGGGCTTCTTCTGGTGGCCTAATATGAAGAAGGAAGTTGCAGAGTTTGTTGGGAAATGCCTTAACTGCCAAAAGGTAAAAGCGGAACGTTGTAAGGTAAAGGGGTTGGTACAACCATTAGAAGTTCCACAAGGAAAGTGGGATTCTATATCTACGGATTTCGTGGGAGGTCTGCCGACAACCCGTTCGGGTAAGGACAAAATCTGGGTGATAGTTGATCGTTTGACTAAGACTGCCCGCCTTATCGCAATGAAGGAGGCCTGGACAATGACACAGTTGGCTCAAGCTTATGTCAACCAAGTGGTAAAGTATCATAGAGTTCCGAGGGATATTGTCTCCGATAGGGACCCAAGGTTCTTGTCCCAATTTTGGAAATCCTTACAAGCAGCTCTTGGAACCAAACTAAGTCTCAGTACTGCTTTCCACCCAGCCACCGATGGGCAAACAGAGAGGACTATACAGACTATCGAAGATATGTTGAGAGCTTGTATGCTAGATTTTCAAGGGTCTTGGGAGGACCATTTGGATTTGATCGAGTTTTCTTACAACAATAGTTATCATTCGAGCATTCGCATGGCACCCTATGAAGCTCTCTATGGATAGAAGTGTCGCAGCCCACTATGTTGGGAGGATATTGTCAATCCGATAGTGTTGGGACCTCAATACTTGCTTGACACATCCGAGAAAGTTAAACAGATTCAGAAAAGGATGAAAGCGGCTCAAAATCGTCAAAAGTCCTACGCTGATTTGGCTAGGAGGCAAGTGGAGTTCTCGGTTGGGGATAAAGTTTGGTTGAAAGTATCTCCTACCCGGGGAGTAATGCGGTTTGGAAAGAAAGGGAAGTTGAGCCCTAGGTTTATAGGCACGTATGAAATCCTGGAGAGGGTTGGGAGTTTGGCTTACCGTTTGGCGTTGCCTATGGAGTTGGAAAGGGTGCATAACGTGTTCCACGTATCGCAGCTCAAGAGATATGTTCATGACCCGGCTCATGTTTTACCACCAGAAGTAATACCGATAGATGAAGATTTGTCTTACGAAGAAAGGCCGCTCAGAATTTTGGACTTCAAGACTCGGGACACACGTAGGAAATCCGTTAAGATGGTGAAGGTTTGGTGGACACATCATGGGGTTGAGGAAGCTACTTGGGAGCTGGAGTCATCGATGCGGGAGCGGTACCCTGAGTTGTTTGAGGAAGGTACCTCGTTTTCCTCGTTTGTTGCTTGCTTTGTGTGCGTGCTTGTTTTTGCTTGTTGCCTTGTTGTTTAGGTAGCTTGAAAGTTGGTGTTTGGAGTTAGAAGTTTAGTTCTTGGTTGTTGTCTAGAAGTCGGTGGTTGTGTTGAGGCTAGAGTTCCTGATGCTCAATCTATCCGTTTGTTAAAATCTTGCCAATCCTTGAATTTGAAATGCCTTCTTTCTTGCTTTGGAATACTTCTTTGCTTTGGAATTCTTGTGAGTTCTTTTGGAGTCTTTGACCAAAAGAGTTTGTTCTTGAACCTCTTGTCACGATACTGTTTCTTATCACCGTTTGCTTTTAATTCGTCGTACCCAAGCTTCGGGGACGAAGCTTCTTTGAAGGGGGAGAGGATGTGACACCCCAAAAAACCACATTCAATCCATGGATTAATTGAGTGATTAATCATATTTTATTTGAGGAGAGATGTTATGCCATACCCATAAACCATGGGTGCACAGGCTAAAGACTATCAAAAAGCATTGATGTGACACCCCAAAAGTCCACACTCCAATCCATGAATTAATTGAGTAATTAATTCTATTTCTTTTGAGGAATTGATTCCTAAAATCCTGATTTTTAATACTCAAGGACTAGTATTTGACTAGTCAACCTTTAAGTTGTGTTGTACCTTGAGCTTTGAGGGGAGTTCCCTTGTTCCTTACACTTTCTAAGGGTTAGTAAGGGTATCCTTGACATTTCACCAAGAGTTAGTATTGTAACCTAACCTAGAAGACTTCTTCATTTCATTGCTTATATTTCCTAGAAATTAGTTCAACCTTCTCTCTAGAAAAGAAGTGTAGCTTATTCTCCAAGCTAAGTTGAGACCCTTGTCAAGATTCCAAGATTTGCTACCAGGATTCAACCTTTCAACTATTTGGGCATCTAAGAGGGTAAGATCTAAGTTCATCTTGTGTTTTTGGTTCCATCTTAGTTGTCTTTTTCTTAAAGGTAGGATCTTTATGATCTTTTGGTTTGATCTTGAAGTGGGTTTGGAAAGTAAGCCTTGTGGGGAGCTTGTTGTGGTGTAAAGTGATGTCTTTTGGTCTACAAGAGGTAACCCATGCTCTACAAAACCTATTTTGCTTACTTATATGTGATTTCTTGGATTCTACTTGTGTTTTGCTATGAAATGTGAGGGTTTATGCATTTGTCTTGTGATATTGCATATCTAGAGCTTGTGTTTAGGGTTCCTTTGTGCCAATGCTTGGAATTTTCCACGATTCAAGTCATTTTGTTGTATTGGGTGAGATTTGACATGTTTTGGACTTGAATTTGTGTTTGGAGAAGAAAATCCCCGAAGGGATTACTTTGCACGGGAATGTGTACTCGCGGGCGGAACGGCGGGGAGAGCCCTACCCGTCGCCCACCCGCAGGTACATAGACTTGTGGGTAGTGTACCCGCGGGTAGAACCATGGGTAGGGGCCTACCCGTGGGTCCACCCGCGGGGAACACAGTGGTGTTGGATCGGGATTTGTTCCTCGTGATTCTTTTGACTTGGTATTTGGTCTTTTGACTTCCCCGATGTTCTTTTGTGGAACTATTTGAGCGTCTTCTTGATGTTTCGTATGTCTAGAACTATATGGTAGGTATCCATGTAGTACTTTGGTGTCTTGAATCGTGCTAAGTGTTCAACATTGTGTTTCGTTGGACCGAGAGGTGTCTTGTGTGTTCCTCGGAACTATCTTGAATTTCTCCGTTGTTAAGCATGCTAGTTTATTGTCTTAATGCTAGCGTGTGTGTGGTTTGTACCTTCCGTTTGGTTGATGATAACTTGTGTTATTCATCGTTGTTGTTGTTGGGCTGTGACCCGTTCCTTGACCGAGTATGTTTCATACCTTCGTTGTAATCCGTTGTTTGACTCTTGTTGAGTTGTGGTGCGTGTGTGGCTTTACCTGGATTGCACGATTAGTGGTATGGGACACTAGTCACCAAGGTATTGCAGCGGTCCTCGTGGTGTGTAACACCCCGTGTTACGGCCTTCAATCCCGGATTAATTATTTAATTAATCCCGTTAATAATAATTAAATATGATTTAATTCGGTTAGGTCTCCTTTAATTAATTAATAAGGTCCACCATGAACCGTGGACCCTTGCCTAAATTAGAGTCCTAAGCCTATTAGGAATAAAGAAAGTAAACCCTTTACTATTCAGATCCTAATTAGGAATCCTAGACCTAGTCATCTATTAGGAAT